CTACTCTTTCTATCCTACAAAAGATACCGGTCCTGAACAAACAACAAGGTAACTTTTATTAACGACTTAGAATAGAAAAGTGGTCCTGAACAAACAACAAGGTAACTTTTATTAACGACTTAGAATATAAAAGTGGTTTTATCTTTCACACTTTGTTATAGTACTTCCATCGCCAGTAATTCCGGGCAACATTGAAGAACAGTGGGTAGCCTCCTAGAACGGGATTGTTGACTGTTATGATACCCATTTTTATCCTATTAATACCAGCAAGAAACAGGTAATTATTCTTTGTTGCAATTATTAATTTTAAAATATAAAATGTATCTATCCCATCCGTTCGGGCTCCTGGGCAGTTGCCCTCTCTGTCCTTAATATTAGCCACTACTTTACTTAAATCTAAAGTTCACCTAAATTTCCATGCACACGACTGACTATATATGTGTTTAACGTATAACTTTGGTCAAGGAAGTGGCTAAGTTCCTTTCTCTCTAGTTACCTTTTGTTCAGGGTAATTCATCTATGGTATTTCGTGTGCTTTCTCGTGGAAAAAAGGATGTGAAGTAGAGCTTACTATGTTAATGGCGACTGTGATATTTTCTACTGGTAGGTCACATGATACCCGGAGGTTATATTCTTTCTTATTTTTCGATTGGAATGAGCAAAATTGATGTATATATCTCGAGTCATGAGAAAAGTTGTTTTGTAAAACTGTGTTTATAATGCCATGTTTTCTCAGTCTGGGAGAGATCTACACAGAATACTGGGTTCTTACAGAGACTTGAAGAGTTCTGAAATATCCAGTAGAGGCGCTCTCTTTTCTTAACAATGTCTGTTGTGTATATTGCATGTCCTACCCGATTATACAAAAGGGGAATTGGTTTACATGAAAATATCAAATTCTTAATGACGAATTAATTATTTTGTAACATCTAGATGCTATAAGTTAAACAATATTTCCTGATATCTTGTGTTGCTGCTATGTAACATCTAGATGCTACAAGTTAAACAATATTTCCTGATATCTTGTGTTGCTGCTATGTAACATCTAGATGCTACAAGTTAAACAATATTTCCTGACATTTTGTATTTGTGCTATGTAACATCTAGATGCTACAAGTTAAACAATATTTCCTGATATCTTGTGTTGCTGCTATGTAACATCTAGATGCTACAAGTTAAACAATATTTCCTGATATCTTGTGTTGCTGCTATGTAACATCTAGATGCTACAAGTTAAACAATATTTCCTGACATTTTGTGTTGCTGCTATGTAACATCTAGATGCTACAAGTTAAACAATATTTCCTGACATTTTGTG